AACTTAGAAAGTGAAGAGGAAGTCAGGAGCAAGTTGCATACTTGTTGTTGCATACTCTACCAACCAGTTAGTAGTGTCTTTTTTTAAAAATTTATTTAGTCCTACCTCAGTCCTACTTTAAAAACCTATCTCTCTTTGAGGGTTTAGACTAGAGTTTTTGTTTTAGTTTGGGATTTTGTTTTTCAAAAAGCAAGCATCTCCAAGGGATTCAGTGGGAGGTACTGGAGGAAAAGATGAAAGTGGCAGGCATATGACCGAGAAAAAGAGATTAGGAAAAAAAAAAGTTATTTTTTTATTCCATCCTGAGCAGCAAGTACCTAATACCTCTCATAAGTTTTGAAGAATCTGTTTTCAGTTTGCTCCTCTGGTGGAAGTTATCTTCATTTCATCAGGGGAAAACAAAAGCACAAAGGGGTAATTGGCTTTCCTGGGGTTTTTTTGAAAACAAAGGTAACTGTTCCTGTGCCAGAAGATAGAACCTAAACAGGAACCCAGATCAGGGTCTTAACTGCACCTTCATCCTTCCTCATCACGGGCATCTGCATGGGGAACATTCGTAGAGTGGTAGCTCATAAAAACTAGACCAGGGTTAAGATTATCATGCTCTGAGAAACAATGAAAATGAGAAGTTTATGCATATAATTGGTCAGATGCTAAAATTACTAGTGGGAAATAGAAGAATTCACAGGGGATGCATCCCTGGACATTTTAGTAGAAAAGAGAACTACTCTCCTATGAGAAGAGTTCTGTAACATGCTAAGCTCCTGCACTGCTTTCCTTATAAGTATAAATACCTGCTTCATATCTCTAAGACCTTGCACAGCTGTCAGCATGCTTCTTGATTAATAGTTTTGTTTTTCTTTCCAGACCTGATTAAAATCATTATGGCTCAAACTTAATGCAAAGCCTGTTGCTATGAATTAATTTAAGACATTTTGTCATGTACGTTCATATAATCTTCACAACAGAATTCCATTGCTGCTGTGTTGATTACTGCAGACAAGGTTTTCATCAAAAACCCTAACACAGTATTACATTCAAGCCCCTAACACCTGCTCTGTAATTAATAAAAGACATAATGAGGGATTGTATTATGTCCCAGACATGTTTAGTTGAATAATAGATATATTCTTGGTACGGGTAGTAAATGAAATTACATGAACCCCTGCTGACTGCTAACCTACTTCCAGCATGGTCATGCCATTAGTTTATTCTGTCTAAGCAATCTGCAAGGTGATATGCCAGTGAGTAATCCTACCCATGGAAAAGGAACCAGAAGTCACTTCAGGTATGATATTTCAGGGCCAGTTCCATGTAACTATCAACTGACACTACATGATGTCACTATTCCTTGTTTTTCATTATGTTTCTTGCCAAGGTTGCCTGCTGCCTCAATACAGCCCTGGAAGTAAAATGAAGCTTGACGAACAGAACAGATCTGTTAGCCATGGGAGAAGTTTGCTCCTCGGCATCACATGAACACCTCTGTAGAGATACCCAATGTAGGAGTTTAGCACAGGAGTGGCATTGGGACCTGATGCCATTTGAAATATCCTCGATGATTTCAGATGCCCACATGGGATCATCAGGTCCCATACTGCACTGTCAAAAAACTCATGCTCTTCTGGAACAAGCCACTGGAGGGTTTTCAGGGAAGCATGCTCTAGATGACAACAAACATCTCTGTTTAGACAACTCAATTGAGTTCCTAATCTCAAATCAGTTTTTACACTGAGTCCCCTCCTTTCCTCACACAGATAACAATAGTAGGGATGCTGTGTCCATAGGGTCAGGAAGATGTTTCTGAATGAAAGCAGTGGTAAAAATATAAGTTGACTCAGTTTGGAAAATGCGATAGGTGCATGAGAAGGAGATCTGGGTTATTTCTTTTCTCTTTTTAGAGGAGTTTCCTTGTTAGTACAAAACAGAAAGCTTACTATCCAGATCTATTATTTTGTTTTCCAGGTGTCTATGTTAGAGAGATAGTCAGACAAACAAAAAATAATGAACCGTGGAACAGAACCTGACACAAAAAACTGCACAGGATAGGAGCCCACAGAGGAGTCAGTCTGTGACTAGGTCTTTCTTAGGGAGCTGGGGGAACCTGGTCCAAAAGTCAGTCTTGGGGAGCAGGTGATCGACTCTTCTCAAAGCAGAGCCTTTACTCACAGTTTGTTTGTTTTTTCCCCTGATGGCTCACATATCTGTTGATTTTTAAATTATCCAGGCTTCCTGTCAACTGAGGCAGAATGGGAGGTGTTGATTTCTAGAATGACAAAAAGAGATTTTTTTTTTAATTTGACATATATCATCATGATACAATAAAGTTATACACCATTTTTTACTTTGTACCAGTTCAGACATCAAAAACCAAACATGGACATTGTGAATCTTATTTTATAATTACCTATCTTTTATATGACTGTAGTCTTAAGGTACGTACAGGGCTAAAATCCAATTCTTAGAGATGTTGCACCACAAAAAAATAATACTGGAACATTTTTCCTGAAGATTATGAGTCTTGAAGGAATTTTTTTAAATGTAGTATTCTTTCTAGTCTTTTTAATCATTTATGTATCTTAGTGATGTTACAGTTGGGATTTATGCTTTAATAAGAGCTTACTAGTTCATGGGGTTTTTTTCCTCCCATTTTCTTTATCCTGCAATGATTTACACAGTGTTTATGAAAAACAGATTTTAATATATCATGTTGCCACAAACAGAGGTTTCAGCAGCATGCAGGTTCCTGCTTTCAGACTTTGACGATTACTTTGCAGTTGTGCTCCATGCCCTGGAACATTCTCTTTTGTACTACTTTGTGCGTGTTCCATTGCATGTGTACATCCCAGGGTCTGACCTCCATATAGCCTTGGTTGTACATGAATTGTAGCATCAAGCCATTAGTTGCTTTTCAGATGCCAACTACATTCTAATGTTTGAATATTTTCACTGGACTATCTTGGTAAATTAGCAAACCTATTTAAAATGTCATAACAAATAGCAGCTGATTTAGGACTGATTCCCTAATATCAAAATCTATAATCCTGTCATACTGTGAAGAAAGTAATTGGTAAATAAAACATTATTTGAAGAAGGAAAGAAGCTATCTAACAGACAAGGTAAAGCAGGAAAAATAGAGATTTGGAAAAAATAATGAATAAGAAGAGAAAAGATGATTTGAGATTGTTTCTTCTAAATTGCCTCATAGCCAGTAGGTTATTTATTTCTTTAAAAGTCATTTTAGACATTTATCATACATTTTAAATTACTGTGCTGTTTGCTGTTTCTTCCAGCAACCATCTGTAAATGAACATGTAGGCTGTTTTTAACCATGACCATTTTCTCCCCTTGCCCACACACCTGGTGCTCTCAGACTGCTCACAAAAACAGAGCTACAAGAAATTATCTTTTTCTATAAGAGAGCAGTTGGAAGAGCTACCCTGGTAGGAGGGAAAAGTAGATAATGGGCTTTTCTGGCAGCTTGAAGAAAAATTAGAAGCAGGTCAAGTCTTTGGACTTTCCTGACTTGGAAGGGAGCCATTAACCATATGGCTTTGTATTCCCTGCGTGCAATGCTGTGCAGCCTCCCATTAGAGACAGATGGTGCGATATCTGTACGCGAACAGCAAAGCTTACAAGACCCCAGTGCTCCGGCTGACGTACACTGTGGTTAGCTCAATGGCAGGGGATATTTCATGTTATATCTTTGGTATGTTTCTCCCTTTGAGGAGATTTAGTTTTTAATTGACAGGAAACTCAAACCCACAAGACAGGAAAAGAATGCATGACAGAGTATAAAATAAGGGGGAAATGCTTCATTAAATTTTTGCCTGACCTCAGTAAGAATTTTTTTCATTTAAATCCCAACTAAGTTGAGCCTTTAGAAGTGAAAGTTTAAAATTCTTTCTCTCTGTGAATTGGCTTGTTTTTTCTTCCAGGACTGCCTAACCTATATTGATACCTAAATTTACTAGACACCATGCTGTTTATCATGAAGTTTTACAGAGTATTTTGGTATTAACATCAGCAATACACATTTTTAAAGCCTGTGATGAGGTGATACATGCCCATAACCCGCATAAAGCTCTGTTCTCATTGACAGAGTTCATAACCTGAACTCTGCTTTGGTCTCTCAAGGAATGTGATGCTCTGGCTTCTATTTCATGGAAAGTCCTGAGTAAAACTGTGAATATGGCCTTGGAATGGGGACCAAACTGTCACTGTCACTCCACTCAGTGCTTTAATCACTAGACTAAATATATTCATCCTCTTGAAGATTTGAAATCTGATGAGTTCTTTATGCGTACTACTATAGCTAACTCAAAGAGATACAGGCGTTTACCACTTCCCACTGGTTCCCTGCATTTTTTGTAGAAGGGGAAAATACATAACAAAAGTGCACACTGAATGACTCAATAGACATACCAGTGTTAGGTCTGATAGTAAGCAGAGGGAAGCGTCGCATAGAGGAGGACTTGATCTTTCATAGAAGTTCTTTGGAGGCATCTACCTCCATCCATTGACTGTGCAAGATAGTTAAAATGGTTATTTTAAGTGGACTGAATTCCCTTTAACACTGGTCTCATCACCTGAATTGTTGCTGTTGCAGCACTTAATTTGTAAACTGAGTTCATCCAGAAGAGATTTAAGAAGATTTTTAAGAGATCGGGTCTTATATTCACACATACATACACAGAGAGTTTGTCTTCACTGATTTTCAGTGATTACACCTCATGAAATGCAGGACTCATCTGCATTTAAGTTAGGCTGGAATATGCATGTCTTATATTATCCAATATGTAATTTACCAAACAGCTTTACAGAGCACAGCAGAATTCATCTTGAATGCACTCTGTGAGTAGACAATGTTGCAGAGTCCCAGTTCAGTGTGTCCCAGAACGAGCCATGCACCATGACCAAATGGAAGATACCAGAAGTGTAGTGATTCATTTCACTGTCTGTAGAAGTATTTTGCATTAAGAATTACAGAAGTAACAGCGTTTTCTTCTATATATGTTAGTTACTAGGTGAAGAGAGATTTCAAGATATTGAAAAAATTAAAACGATCGGCAGCACATACATGGCCGTGTCAGGATTATCACCTGAAAAACAGGTAAGAGAGTAGTTTTCTTTAGGAAGCAAAGCTTTTAGTGTGTCTGACCGTTCATATTAGAGAATATTAGTGTTGTCTTTCTGATGTTCATAGATGTATTTGCTAAAATAAAATAGATATTTGGGGCTTCTGGCAGACAACAGTTTCCCTTCTTGATGAATTGAAATGCCATCTTGTGCTCAGAACAAGAACCATATGGATTCTCTCCTCAAATTTAGCTTTACAGGAGAGGAAAAAAAAATCTCCTTTCAACCACACTGATGTGAATCTAGAGCAGGTCTATCTATATTTTTGGACATACTCCAAATTTACGACTGTAACTCAGACAGGAATCTGGCCGACAGCCTCCAATAATCTGTGAAGAAAGAGGATCTATTAACTGACAGCATACTTACGCAGGTGTAAAGCTGCAGTTATACATTTTTGTGATGATGTAGCTGTATATCTAGTGACAGCATGATAAACTACACATCAAAAAGAGCAAACCCATCAGTTCGACTGAAGAACATCACAAAGCCAGAAGTCTGCAGGCTGCCATCACTTGCAGAGGTGCAAATCAAGCTGAGGGAAAAATCAACTGCCGAGGACAAATGCACAGTCACAGCCATAAACCTCAAATAAGTCAGATGAGAGAAGTTCATTCATAATTCCACCCAAGAATATGCCTGGAAATGGGGTCTCCAAAGGAATAACATGAGGCTCTAAAATACATCCAGCAAGATGTTGACTGTTGCTGAAATCTGTCTTGCTTGGCAACTGGCACCTCTTCCCAAGGAAGAGAACCGTAAAATGGGGTGTGCTGCCCCTGATCAACCACAGAGTGGGAATCAGATCTGCCCACATTGATTGCAACTGCCAGGAAAGCAGAAGACAGATTAGTGTGAGCTTTATAAACTAGAAAATTTTCATTATTTGTTTAGATTACATTATAAACACAAAGAGTGTAACCAGCTGAGCATCTCCCACCTACAGAGTAACAAGTGATGCTGACAGTTAGAAATCCACAGAACTAGGCAGGCATGAGATTTGTGCTTGTTCCAGCTCAAAATGCTTCTGTGCAGAAATGATCAAAGAACGACTGAACACCAGGGAGGTAGCTGGTTATAGCTACACAGCTCCTAACTACTTCTTTTGACTCCTGATGTGGATAAAAATTCAAAGAAAGAAAATCTTGCATTTCCAAGACTGATAAACTCATCCTTTTTCTTGAACCATAACAGCTTAATGGAATCTTTAGGTATGTTTTAAATATATTTATCTTCAGATATACATGTCTGTCACCTTGTCAGCATCTAAGAGATGAGGGCTGGTGAGGGAGGCTGGATGCTGTGAATTGAATGAGTCTGAGGACAAGGACTGAGCATGGTGGGAACAGAACAGGATGATGCCAGGGAGATGCTTATGTTCAGGATTAAACACTGAGGATGATGAAAATTGTAAAGGGCTGGACTGCATGACCCAAGGGGAAGCCTTGCAATGCTTCATTTGTAAGGACTGGAAATTTGTTTAATGAAAGAGTTATCTGGCTTCAGAATAGATGAGGTGACTTCATACCATTATTGGGCCGAAACTTCAGCTGCTCTTACTCCACTGCCTACTAAGAGAAACAATTAAGGATTTCCTTGTCCTTCTTTGAGGGTTCCTGCCCCATCATTTGCTCTGTTGGTGTTCTGTGAAGACTAAAACCTGCTCCTGGTCCCCATCTGTATATCTACTGCCCTATAGGAATGGAAATGGAGGGGAAGGAGCAGCAAGTGACTTGACTGCTCTAAGCAGAAGTGATTAACGAGCTACAGACTACAGTCTTTTCTCTCTCACTTAACCGGTCACAGGTTGCCTGGATTGCCTTGTTGTTCCTGTCACTATTCCATCCCTAAGAGCACTGGAATTGGTGCTTTTCCTAGGTGACAGTTTCAGCAAAGGAGAATTAAATGTCACTGTTTTTTCTCTACTTCTTGCTTACACGGGTCATCCCTGGTTCTCACTAGTTATTGTTCCTTGCACCTGAGTTATCTCAATCCTCTCTGTACTTTCTTTCTCAACCTTGGGTAGATTTCACGTGCCTTATTAATTCCCATGATTGTCTGTCTGATTATTGACAGGAAATTACTCTTTTTGATGCTTCATGCTAAGCTTCTCTCTATCCAGGTATACAGGTGTTGTAATATAAATGGGAAGCATTACGATTAATAATATCCTACCTCTCTTGGATCTAGTATGTTGAGACTGTTCTTACAAATTCCAAATTCAGATACTTGGCACTTGGTAGGGATGAGTGGGAGTGGGGCAAATGCAAAACTTTTCTAACATATTGCTTTACAATTTACTCCTCAGCAATGTGAAGACAAGTGGGGGCATTTGTGCGCTCTGGCCGACTTCTCCATAGCTCTGAATGAAAGCATACAGGAGATCAACAAGCATTCATTTAACAACTTTGAACTCCGTATTGGTAAGCATAGTTCAAACATGAGAATTAAAGTAACAGTTTGTCTCTGAGGATCTGACTCCGTAAGTACACCCCAGGAGCATTGCAAGGATATGTGCACCTTCAGAGACTCCAAATACTGTATCCTCTGTCTTCAGACTAACTTTATCCCCAACAAAGTTAGAAATAAGAAATACTCAATTTTCAGAATATGGACCCTGATTTGGGTACTGCAGGAGTTCTAAGATTTAGTGAATTGTGAATGGGTAACATAATTAATCTACTGTCTTTAGCAAGTCCACCCAAGAGCCCGTAGATATAACACAAAAAGTGAACTGGACAGCCCAGATGTAACCTCAAGCTTGATACTGGCTTGCACAGCCTCTAATTAATCTCCCTGTCTTAGAGTCTTATTCAGTAAAGGGGTAATAGTAGCTTATCCTAAACCTTGTGTGTAGTACTTTGGTTTTGCACAAAAATTGAATTCCAGTTCTGACCTGAGAAGTAGCAACAGCTCTGAATTGCTGTGATGGGGGTTCTGATCTCCTGGATGGGATATCATGGATGGCTAGTAGGACGGGATATGAAAAGATGACCTGAATATATGGCACATAGCACAGAATAAATCTGATGGCTTCGCATGTTGACTGGATCACTGGCCAAAACCAAAAGCCACCTGGAAAAAATATGTCCTTTACAGACAACCCTGCCATAAAAAAAAAAAAAATATATATTAATCACTCACAGCATGGAGAGTTGCAGCATCACCATCTGTGATCTGCTCTTCCTAACAGTTTTGAACAGAAAACACTCAATTCACAAGATTTCTCAGGGAACATGCATCCACTCATAATAAGTGTGGATCACTTGTGAAGATTTCATAGAGCATGAATGCAACAGTATTTGGAAATCATTTCTATCACCAATTTAAAACAATATTCTTAAAAAAAATAATCCTTTTCCTAAATATGTCTTTCACTCTCACTAAATGTATTCTTAAATCACTGCTGTAGAAAAAAAAATAGTCTCTTCTACATTATTGCTTTTCTTGAACTTATGCAATGATCCTACAAGATACAGTCTTTCAATAACTTTGTGGAATACTTTAATATTTTCACTTCATGGAACATAAGAATGTAATTTCTTGACTGCATAGCACTAACAAAGTTGCCTTCAACAAGTGTAGACCCAGGAAGATCCTTCCAGAGAGATCTTTCCCATTACATAAGAATCAGTTTGCAGGAGCTTTGGCAATAGTGTGCAGAATACAGATGATAAGTAAGTACTGTGGATCCACTGAGACAGACATCCTGTAAAATAACTCCATGGATATGGATATCACTTTTCAGGTTTTCTAGCTTTTCTGGCTTTTTTTTTTTCTTACTTTCTTTGTATATACCTCTTCCTCAAGCTTAGAGATGTGTATCTGAATGAGGCTTCATCTGGTTCTTAAGTGCAAATATGGTTTTCAGGTATTCTTGTCTAACTGGCTATCTCTTCTCAATTTTTTTTTTTTTTTTAATAGGGATTAGCCATGGCTCTGTCGTAGCGGGAGTTATCGGTGCTAAGAAACCCCAATATGATATCTGGGGCAAAACGGTTAATTTAGCAAGTCGAATGGACAGCACAGGTGTTAGTGACAGAATACAAGTGCCTGAAGAAACGTATCTGATCCTGAAGGACCGGGGATTTGCCTTCGACTACCGAGGAGAGATTTATGTCAAAGGTATCAGTGAACAGGAAGGAAAAATCAAAACATATTTTCTTCTAGGAAGAGTTCAACCAAATCCTTTAATCTTACAACCAAGAAAACTGACTGGACAGTATTCATTAGCAGCTGTTGTATTAGGACTTGTACAGTCTCTTAACAGGCAAAAACAGAAGCAAATCCTTAATGAGAACAATAACTCTGGAATCATAAAAGGACATTACAACCGGAGAACTTTGCTCACTCCCGGTGGATCTGAGGCAGCATCCCAGGCAGAGGGGGCTGACAAAACTGAATTGCCATAATCAGCATTTTGTTTGTGTTCTTTTTTTTGTATTTCTTTTATATATAAAAATAAATATACAAATAAAAAGGGTTTAAATTTTTTTAGAAGGTGTGTGATTATTTTCTAGTGTGATATTTCGATGAGATTCAGATTCCTACATTTTAACAAATGGTGCCAGCACCTCTCCCCCTAGTTGTGATTACCTCTGAATGTCCAGATATAGTATCTGTAGGCCACCACTCTGCTGTGCCAACTACCTGCAGAATGGGGCAAGAATAACCCTCTGACTGGAAGGATTTAGAATATAAATTGTGTAGAGACTTAGTGGTGGAAAAAGGAGGGAATACTCTTCACACTTTTTGGGTGAAAGCAAAGGCATAAGCAGTTTGATTACGTTCTTCTCACCTTTAGTTGCCTTCAGGTAGAGTTATAGGCTTCTGAGATAGTTGCCTGGTCTCCATAACAACTAGGGAAAAGCTAGCCAATACAGCCAAAGGATTTTAAGGTGTGCTATCTGCCCAGATGTGAGGATCTGGGAGACAGAAGAGATGGATCTTGCCCTAAACCCACTGATTCCATTGATTTCACTGGCCGTGGGTTCTTAATATAGACGAAGGTGTCCTCCTCACAAGTGGGCGGCTGCACTGTAGGCAGATAAATTGTATGTTGGCATCCACCTGACCTCTTGCACTCACACCAGGATGTCAAGACTCTCCTGTAGGCACGTGTCATATCTGTCAGTCTCATTTGGAGAGCTTGGATGCACTATGGTATCTTGACCAGCACAAGACATCTATGAAAAGGTGACAGAACTACACCTTGAATTAGATGTCTGGAGCCCACAGCCAAGATGTCTATTGTCCAGCCACGGAACTAATCAAATTCTCTGGAGTCACTTTCCAGAGTTCAGCTCTTAACCACATCACCAGCCTGAGTTCTGACCAAAACAAGGGTTGCCTGAGGCTATGAGTGCATGTCAAAATACAGCAGGAGATGAAGCTCACTCCTAAACTCCATCTCAGTTGCCTCAAGAGGAGGAGAGGCCAAGACTGAGGAGACCCCAAATTATTTGTGTGCCAGCACAGACACAGTCCTGCTGGGATGCTACAATGGCACGCCTAGGTGTTACAAGCCCTGTATCAAAAGGAGGATAAGTTTTTGGGGGATGGCTAATCAACTTCACCTTGGAAACAGTAAATATATAGCACAGGTTCCTATATACATCAGTGCCATGATTCATACTGAGCAGTAAAGTGCACAAATGAACCTCTCATCAAGTCTGTATGCTCAAAGGAGCTGGGTTTCTCTCAGTAAATATTATCTTTAAAGTAAATCACAGGTGGAAGCAGCAGAACCTGTAATCACACAGCAACCCCCAGATGAGATGCCACACAACCAGTACAGTGCAACATACAGATTCTTCGTAAATACAGGCCTTGTTTTTTCCAGGCTGTTACCCAGTCCTTAATGAAAACTGAGGTATCTAGAGAGCATCACCACTGGATCAGGCACATTTTTGAAAGATGGCCAATAGGGCTAGGGAATCTTGATTTCTACATTTTATAAGACACTATTGTTTACCAACAAAAGAGGCACCAAAATATGAAAGTGTTTAACTGTAGTAAGATAAATACATTGATTTTCATTGCAAAATAACCTGATGAATGGGTTTGGGGGACAAAATCTAATGAGCTGACTGCCATCATCAGAAACAGAAAATAATAAAAATGACCAAATAAATTCCACAGAAAATTGTATCACTGAATAATGGGTCTGAGCACAGAGAGCAAAGAGCAGTCTGAAATGTTATGCCCAGTGACGATGCTGCCAGCAACTGAGCTCCGATTCCAAATTGATTACTCCTTTGAATTCCCACAAATACCATTGTCTATGCCACACAGAGAAAGCTGATCCCCTCCACACACCCAGGCCAGTGTTGGTAGTGTAGAAGATAAAGACAAGGAAAGGCTAGCATATGAAGCACTTAAATTAATTTCATGTTTGCAGTAGTATTTGAGGCACTAAAGAAGGAAACTTTGGCTGGTTTAAACAGCTCATTAACAGCTGTTGTCTCCTTCACAGTTTATTTCTGTGCTGGATGGGTTCACTTTTCCTGGTTCTTTAAACATTTAATTCTTGCTAATATCCCAGCTGAACTAGTTTTCTAATTCTCACCACTGCTGCCAACCTCTGTAATGACAATTAGCAGTGAGTGGAAGGTGTTAACTAGATAACAGGATTGGAGACTAGAGCTGTGAGGGCAACTTCACTGCTCCTTAGCACGGGCCCAAACTTCCTTTTCTTAACATAAACACAGATGGCTTTCTGTGTTATCCCTCTCAAAATCCCCACTAGCATAACTATATTCCCAAGCAAAATTGACTGCTAATGAAGACTGAGTCTGTGTTGACCAGATAAAGAGTTTGCTATATCATTGCCACTGTTTATTGCCATGAATAATTCTTTAGTGAGGAATTTCACCTGTGACTGCCTCAGGTAAATCCCCTGCTTGGGACTATTTGTCTAATCTAGACGGCTACTTGTCACTCCAGCAATTACACTGCTTGTTCCTTTCCCAAGTGTTATTTCTTGTTGTAGCATCCATTTTCAGTGGAGCAGCAGCTATTCTCTCAGTCTTCTAGTTTTACTCCACTACTTTATGGTATCATTAGAATATCCAGCTTTCCCTCACAACTCTATCTTCAGGGTTTCTTGTTCATACAGAATAGAACTTCTCATAAAATAAGGACCTATAAAGCCAAAATAATATCCTTTGAAAAATGCCTGTCTGGGTTAATAAAGGTAAATTGCCTTGATATTTTAACTCTTTGGCCAAACCAGGTAGCCAGTATTGAGAGCTTCCCTAGAGAAAAAAGCCTTGGCAGAATGATTATACTCTTTGATGTCACCTTCTTTATTTCTACAAACGTGCACTACAGAAACAAGCAGCAGCCAGCTGCTTGCTCAGAAATTTGCATCTCGGTCCCTCCAACAAGCTCTGTGCCACAAGCTCTGCTGACTTAAATGTTTTCTAAACAAACAAGCTGAAATCCACAGCTTTCTTCTCTGAAAAGCAACATACAATCAATGACATCAAGGTCAGTTTATGCCAGCTTTGAAGTGCTCATTCTTAATCATTAAAGCAGATGGAATATTGACTATCTGGACAATACTTCTGTATGAAAATCATTACTCTGTAATTCTCCAAGTGCACATCACTCCTATATTCTAGCAAAGATCACATCTGTGGCAAGAGTGCTTATCTGTAGGGCAGTGAAAAGGTTTTAGTGTTGATTAATTTATGCCATTCACCAATTTTACTAATATCTACTCAGAAAGTCACAGTTAGGTACCTGTCAAGGTATTTACTCTTAGCTCACATTAAGACTCAAGACAGAAGAGAGTTTACCTTCACTGAGAACAGTGTGATAGGTGTGATATCATTTAGAACTGTGTGCTGAGAAAAAAAGTAATTAAAAAAATAGCCCTTGCACATGGAGGAAAAACATTGCTCAGTGTCCTCAGCTTTAATTCATTCCTGATTACTACACAGTCGTTTGTACATTTGGAAAAGCACAGCAAAAAAAAAAAAATCTCATCTAATTATTTTCTCATTAGCAGAACTTGAGCTGCCTTTCCTAAGCACAATGGGAGTCAAGGAGTTTATACAAACACACAGCACAGCCACGGTGGCAATAGCCATGTGTCCTGCCGCTGCACGCTGTCACGCTGCAACACACGGAGCAGAGAGCCTGGCTCTGGAGTGACTTAACAAACACGCAGTGAAATGATCAGAGGAGCAGGAAACAACCGCATTAACCATCGTCGGTGTTACACTGCAAGCCTTATAATGTCACAGTCAACTTATTAACCTCCCCGTCAGGCTTTTTCTGTTTCTCAATGGCAGTGACACGATTAAATGTTTGTGGTTTCCCCAGCTCTGTGCTTTGTGCAGAAAGAGAAAAATTATGACAGCAGAGCAGTCTGCAGATGGGAGCGAAGGGGTAAAAAATCAATATGCATATCTCCAGGCACTTGAAACTTACTGCAGTTCAGTTAGTATTTAAAGAATGCTCTCATTAGCTCTTGTGGTAGAAAATATTTCCTTGATTTACGTAACTTTGGTAAAGAAGGCCCAATTTTTTTCAAAAAAATATTTTTTTCTGTCCATTTTCCACTAAATTCTTTTTTAGATGATGGCTGTCAGAGTTACAGAGATATCCAGAGACTGATTCATTCAGCTCTTTCATGTGAAAATGACAGCAATGTGCAGGGCTGGTTAGACAGCATCTCCTGTCAAATGCCACTCATGCTACTTCTCCTGACCCAGATCTCCCTCAGCCCAAGGTGGTTTTTTTCTGGCTGATAAATATGTTAATATTGCTGTGCTGAAGCTATCTCTGTTTCACAGTGCATGCACCTTTAGAGGGTCTTTAAATCGGTGCCTCCTTCAGCTTTGCAATATTCTAAAAAAAAAAAAAAAAAAAAAAAATCAAAACGCACCACCATTGCCACATGGAGAAAAAAAAAAAGGAAGAAATCTCAGCTGGTTTGCTGAAAATCTAAGGTTCTAAAATGAATGACATATGTGTGAAGTGACTTTTGATTGTAAAACCCACTCCCAGCAGCAGTGACATGGGATACACCGTGGGACATTTTCACAGCAACAAGATATTAATTATAATTTTAATTAACTCATCAGTTACTTAAAATAATAAAAAGACACCAGCCTCTTCCTGTTCATCATTCTTCACAGACACTATTGTGACAGGCTGTCAGTTTTCTCAGTTCTATAAATCACCAAGTAATTTTGCTTCCAGTGAGTGATTGCCTCCTCTGGATGTGCCCAGATTGCTGTCCTAAAGCTACGGCCAGGAGTCAGGAGTCACATCCCTGTCTCTGGGGTCAGCACACTTTGTACGAGTAAGACCAAGGTTCCCAACGGCACCAGATCTTTCCCTGTAGCCCTGTTCCTGAGAAAGGCAAGACCAGGGGTTTGGGCAGGCTGAGAGCCGTAGCCTGACACTTTTCTATCTGAATGAGGGTGGGAAGAAGACCCTAGTAGGACCTATCCCACAAGGTAAGTCAAGATGCTGCCTTTACA